AAACTTTATCTTTCAATATAAATATTACAAGCCGTGAAATAGAATGCTTTATTAATGAAATGTACAATAGTTATGCTATAAAATATGGTAATAATGAAAATATTCCTTCTACTACGAGTTCTGATACAGATTTTAAAGGTAAACGTTCTACCTTTTCTTTAATAGCCAAGAAACGCAATGTGTCTTTTACTTCATCTATTAGTTCATTTTCAAAAGAAAATGTTACACCAACTGAATTAGAAAGATATTATCAATTTGATCACTACAGTTTAATTCCACAAGACAAGGTTGACAATTTAGATGTTTTACAATGGTGGAAGGTAAATGAACGATCATATTCAATATTATCAAAAATGGTCCGAGATCTACTAACAGTTCAAGTCTCAACAGTGGCATCGGAGTCTGCTTTTAGTGTAGGTAACAGAGTACTAGATGAAAGAAGATCAAGATTTAAAGAAGATATTTTAGAAACTCTCATCTGCGTGAAAAACTGGTTATTTGCTGATAGAAGAATGCAAGATAAAGTTGCTGACGATATTACTCAAAACTTTAAAAATCTTACCGTAGATGAATAAAATCTGATTTGTAATGACGAAATTATTGTTAAGTAGGTGCCAACCTAGTTAGGATGTACTTTAACTATAAGTTCATAACTAGTTCAAAACTGTGTAATTTGTCAAGTTAGGTAAAATATTGTAAGTTTTTATGTTATTTATTTATTGATGTAATTTATCGAAAAATAAATCAATGTAAAATTTATTTTTACGTAACTTTTATCGATTTTCACTATAATTCTTTTTACCGTTATTTTTTGGGGAAAAAAAACGACGTGTGGGCCGTGAGCGGTCCGGGCCGGGTTAGGCCTCTCCTAACCCGGTCCGGGCCGGAACGGCCCCGGAAGCCAGCACGGGCCAGTCCATTTTCAGCCCGGCCTCGAACCAAGCTTCTTTCCTGGTGGTCCGGACAGGTCCGGACCGCCCGTTTTTACACCTCTACACCGACACAAATACGTCAAAACGTGATTTTTTAAAAAAAATAGTGACACTACACGACATGTCACTGATACATTGATTAAATTCTTTAACATTCTTCATTGATATAGTATAAATTTAGGCACCGTTTGGTAACCATTATTCAAGAAAAAAATGCATTCTTTGTGTCAAATCACACCTTTTTTGTGGTTGAAAATGAAGGAAAAGTTATTGATGTGATGGAAAATATTATTTTATTGATGAATGTATGGTTGAAAATTAGTAGAAGAATGAGAATGAAAAAAAGAATGGATACCAAACAGAGGCTTAATTTTATACTTTTTATTAAATTTTCTAGTTGATATGAGTACCTATTAGATCATATCAAATGGTCTACACCAAATTTAACGGAATCTCTCCAATGATTACACTAAATTTTACAGCAAATTTATTGTAAAAGTTATGCCAAATTTGGTGTAGATCATTGATGATGATTTTATATTA